AGATGTTGTAAATAACTTATTGACTCTCTTAATTTAATCAGTCAGTATTTAACTGCCCTGTCTTCTTTGAAGACTAAAGACATCAATGAAGTAAGATCGGCCAAGAATGTTAACACTTACTGCAACCTCTGTAAGCTGGATATTTGACTATACACATAAAACTTTCTAGGAGATTTTGAGGTCATCTTCAGAGAAATTTGATATTGCTTTATGCTTTGAGAACAATTCAAAGTGCATATTTTGCTACCAAAATCAAAAACAAGACAACCCACTCAAACATATTTATTTGTAACGTTTTTGGTGTTCTAGCCAAAGAAATTTAGTTAAGAATGCTGTAATAAATCACAGAATGTGCCACAACGTACTGATATTAGTTATAATCGATAGCTAAAAAGGGGGGGTGGCCCCTGAAATGAAAATGTTTGTAAATATTTGAAATGTAAACAAATGCAGATTTTATTACATACATACATACATCACAACATTCATAGAAAATATTAGAAGGCTTCATGGACTACAGGTAGGCTCAACTTACAACCACAATTGAGCCCCAACTTTCTGTTGATAAGCGAGACATTTGTTAAGTGAGTTTTGCCCCATTTTATGACCTTTCTTGCCAGTTTTAAATGAATCACTGCAGTTGTTAAGTTAGTGTCATGGTTGTTAAGTGAATCTAGCTTCCTCACTGACTTTGCTTGTCAGAAGGTCCCAAAAGGGGATCCATCATGACTCTGGGACACAGCAACTGTCATAAATACGAGTTGGTGGCCAAGCATCTGAATTTTGATCATGTGACTATAGGAATACGGCAATGGTCGTGTGAAAAACGGCCATAACTCACTTTTTTCAGTGCCATTGTAATTTCAAATGGTCACTAAATGAACTGAAGTTGAAGACTATCTGTACCGGAAAGTTAATTTATATCTCATTAACAAGGATTTTTTGGCTTTTACTCAGAACTGCACATTTGCAGGTCATAAAACGGGAGTTCCCAAAGGTGTTTAAATCAATGTCTGTGTGGAGTTATTCTTTTCTTCCAAGTGGGAATTAAACCGATTACTTGATTACACTGCAATTCAACCCAAGTCATAAAATTGGCTTCCAAAATGTTCAATAGCAGTGCCAGGTTTTTTTTATTTTTTTAAAAAAATCTCTAAGCACTATTTTCCATCAACTTTAGTGCAACATAACCCAGTCTTCCTCTGCACAATGCTTTCCAGATGTGGTCCAGCTTCTCCTTCCAGCCTGTCATGGTCTTCTTCTATGGTTTCAGAATTTTGTATGAGTTCAGTGTTTATAATTTTGGGTTTTATCATCTTACTTTATTTTATCCAATTTGGGGACTTTCAACAGAAAGTAGACTACATATATGCATTTGCGCACGCACAGATGTGTAAGAAAATGTTTCAGCGTGCTATATTAGTTATAGTTGACTGAGAGACATTACATGTAATTGCTATTCTTACTCCTTTTCAGTTGCTTTTCTAAATCAACCTAAAATTAGAGCAATTAAGAGTTGCTTCTGTAGCTTTTTATGTTTTATGAATACCTAAATACCTTAGTAAAAAAGAGAGGCTGGCGAGTAAGGAAATAAGGAAAAAGTTGAATAGTTCTTGCATTTTCCCTCATTAGTGCATCTCAAGAAAATGCTTGGCTTGGAAGAACAAGTGGCTATGTTCTTCGGCTATTTGTCATTGATATTCCCAGCATGATCAGATAATACCAGATAATTAACAATGAACTAATTCAGAGGTCCCCAACCTTTTAGGCACTAGGGACCAGTTCCGTGGAGAGAGGGTGGACCGGAGGGTGCATGCTTTTGTGAGCTGCCTGCATCCCATGGATGGGGTTTGCTTGTTTGTGCAAATCGGTTGCTGGCATGCTGCGGCCCGGTACCGGTCCACGGACTGGGGGTTGAGGACCCCTGGCTTAGAGTTCCTGTTTCTATTCTGACTCTCTTGATTAGCCCTCTTCTGATTCTCAATATCCCAGTTTTCTGGAATCTGTGTTCAAACGTTTTTCAGAATATATTGGTTTAGTTTCTTACCTGCAATTGATTCTACCTTTGGACAAGCTTGCCTGTGTTCCACTCTGACTTTAGTCTTAACCCTGCCAGAATTTTCACTTTCAGCTTTCCTGCTTATAGGTCTATAAATGACAGGTATACAAAGGGGGGGGGGGGAAATCCCTAAAAAAATAAAAAAAGCAGCATCTTATAAAATCCTACAAAATTTTCTATTGATGATTGAAATTGCTTAATTTCACAGAGAGTTTCATTATCTTGCTTCACTTCATTTACATATTGTGCCAAGTCCTAAAACACAGAAAAAAAAAACAAATTTGGTATGTAACCATGATTGATTAAATATTTACAGTTGATTAAGGGCTGAAAGCCACTCATGTCCAATTTTTTAAAGAAAGGCATTTATTTTTATATGAATATTTCCCTATTATACAAATTTTTGCATAGAGCAAAGTTCTCCAACCTTTCCGGGCTCGCAGCCCAGAGGAGAGAGCAGCTTCCAAATTACTGCATGCGCGCATACATGCATGTAAATGGGGCCACACCCACAGCTGCGTACCCCCGCAGCGGTTAGCGCCCATTTTTTGCATGCACAAATGGGCCACGCACACACACCACACTAACGGCCTGTTCGTGCATGCACAAATGGGGCATGCATCGCCCTGCACACTAGTGTTCCTGTTCGAGCCCATGTGCATGCGCAAACAGGGCCGTGGGTGCTAGCGCCAGTGGGGGGAGAATGCGCGCCCACGTGTGCACACCCTGGCTAGCCATTTCTGCTGCCCGCTGGCCAAGAGCCCGCAGCCCGATAGCGGGCCGCAGCCCACAGATCGGGGACCCCTGATCTAACTAACTTAAAAAATTATCCAGTTACTGTGGTTGAAAAACAATGCAGAACATATTGAATGGCTGAAGTCACTGTTCCTAAGGTACCAATTTAATTTCCTGACAAAATATTTGACTTGCCTCCAGAAGTTGTGGGTGCTCCAACACTGGAGGTTTTTAAGAAGGGATTGGACAACCATTTGTCTGAAATGGCATAGTTCTGCTGCTTGAGTAGGGGGCTGGACTAGGAGATCTACAAGGTCTCTTCCAACTCTGTTATTCCGATATTCCCAAGGATAAAAAAGAGCTCTATTTCTTTGAAACATTATTCCAACATTCTCTGAATGATCATCATCTGATAGTAATGAAAAGTACTCTGACGTACTACAATTCGTTCTTTCTCATCTCCTTTTATTCTTCTTCTGCACCATGGATGTATATATAACATTCCTTCCCTGGGATAACCATCCATGAAGTGGACAGCACCCAAGAAAGTTTATACTGAAAGAACAATATCTGGAAGAATGTGTTTGCTTATTCTTTAAACTAAAATTGGAAGGGAGGGTGAGCAATCTTTAGGACCTAATCCCAAGCATAAACCCCAAGACAACCAATCAGGTAGGGAGTGGTGGGAAGGAAAAGGAACTCAAAACAGGAGATGTAGGAAACAAATGCGGGGACAGCCATAAAGGATTCAAATGTCTATACACTAATGCTCAAAGTATGAGGAACAAACTGGGTGAACTAAGACCTAGCACCTGAGGACATGTATGATATAGTTGCCTAAACTTGGTGGGATTAAACTCATGACTGAAATGTACTGTTGGGAGGATATAAACTATTCAAAAGAAACAGATCTAACAAAAGAGGAAGTGGAGTTGCATTGTATGTAAGAAATCACTGCACCTTTACAGAAATGCATAAAGCAAAGGACGAAAGCCTCCTTGAATGCAGATGAGTTAATGTAAAAGGAAAAAAGAATGACATTGTCATAGATGTATATTACAGGCCACCGAACCAAGTGGAAGAAATAGATCAGTGGTTCTCAACCTTTTTAATGCCGCGACCCCCAACCAGTCGTAAGTCGAGGACTAAACCGATTGTAAGTCGATGACTAAACCGGTCGTAAGTCGATGACTAAACCGGTCGTAAGTCGAGGACTACCCAACCGGTCGTAAGTCGAGGACTTTCCCTGCCCGGGAGCGCCGCGCATGCGTGGTTCCGCCCCCTGCGCCGGCCGAGGCGTAGCTGGCAAGCGGCAGGCCGACCACCAGCTGGCCCAGCCCAAGGGAGGTGAGGCACCCGCCGGAAAAGGGAAAAAAAAATGGCGGACAGCCTTGTTTGGCGACCCCCGTGAAACGGTCGATCGACCCCAAATGGGGTCCCGACCCACAGGTTGAGAACCGCTGAAATAGATGGATTTTTTGTAGTCAGTTAGCTAACGTGTGCAGGAAACATACAATAGTAATGGGTGACCCTAATTATCCTGGCACCCACTGGGAGATAAACTCTGTAGCAAGTGGGAATTCCTGCACACCTTAGCTGATTATCAAAGAGTTCATCTACAGGTAGTCCTCGACTTACAACAGTTCATTTAGTGACCATTCAAAGTTCTAAGGGCACTGAGAAAAGTGACTCTAGACCATTTTTCACACTTATGACCTTTGCAGCACCCCCATAGTCATGTGATTTACATTCGGATGCTTGACAACTGGGTCATATTTATGACGGTCGCAGTGTCCCGGGGTCATGTGATCAGCTTTTGCAACCGTCTGTCAAGCAAAATCAATGGGGAAAGCCAGATTCACTTAACAACCATGTTACTAACTTAACTGCACTTAAGAAATGTGTCAAGACAAGTCGTAAAATGGGACAGAACTCACTTAACAAATTTCTCACTTATCAACATAAATTTTGGACTCAGTTGTGGTCGTAAGTCGAGGACTACCTATATTTCCTGTGCTTGAGTGGCCCGCAGCATATACCTAGAGAGCTAATCATACCAAACCATACATCGGCCGTAATATAATCCTTTCTTGCTAAATCCCTCTCCAGCCTAACTTTATTTAAAATTTTAATATAAATTTAGGAAAGAATTTGCTGCGATGTGCAAAGCAAGAGAGAAAATCCACTGAATGAAAGTGCAGAGTTTTTATGCTTTAATACTGACCCAGAGACAGCCTAATAAGCTGCCATATATCCGTGTTTTCATGCAGTTTCCTTCCGTAGCATCGTGGCAATCAAGCCACTTAAAAACAATTAGGATGGCAATGTTTTCTGGAGACTTAGTTTGGAGCGAAGACTTTTCCCAAGGAACTTATTTCTTCTTTTAGAATCTTTTGCATCATAAAATCCTGTTTAGCAATCTAGGAGCAAGATAAAATGAGATTTATTTATCACATACTTTTAGTTAGAAGCTTTTATACAATTCTCTGATTATCTCTGACAATTTATCACAAATACTTTCCTCCAAGAATCACAAGTTTTGGCCTGAAATTCTTTCTTTCCTACATTAGGGACTGAACTTTTTAATCTTCTGCAAATAGCACAAATTTTACTACAGTGTGTAATTTGGCCAGACTTATTTTTAGGGCTGTACAAAGCATTAAAAGAGATGTTATACAAAGCAATTTAACACCTAGGAAGTATCTCTATCTGAAATGCTCAAGCAGTCAGAACACTTGGAAGAAATATTGTCAGCTCTCTCTGTGCAGGCACAGACAATTTTGTGAGCAATTCTAATGGAAGTGTTCTTGTCTTCTGAAGTAGCTGCATGAATCTCACAAAGGATGTAGCTGCTTTAATCTTCAGTTTTGTTCATATTGATGTGCTTTCTGAAGGACTAATTCTGAATGCTTTGCATAGCTGTATTTTCTTTAAGTAAGCAAATATAGATAATTAAAGCTGCTAAATGGACTCAAATGAAAATGACTGGAGCTTTAGCTAAGCTATAAATTCTCAGCACATTTATGTAATAAACCCAGGTTTATGGGATAAGTTCCCACAGGGTGAATATATACAACATTCAAAACCAAAATCAATCAAGTCACTTTACTCTGTTGAACTAATCTGGAATTGAATATCCTTTATTATCAGGCAAAGATAACCAGTCTACTTTTAATTAGTAAAAGTATATTATAGCATAGTATATTACAAAATATTCTTTTATAGATGTGGCTATCCTGATTCAAATTGGACCAAGTACATTGTGGCCTGAGAATAAAAGAAATTCAGTTTCGTACTGATTCACAGTTACAGTCACAAGTGTTACAAAATCAGTTTGAGTGGTATTTCCTACTCACAGCCACTAATTTTCTTAATGCCAGTAATAACGGTTGTTGGTTTTTATTTCTAAAAAAAAAATTGTGAAGCCATCTTCTCATAAACATTTGTTCTTCTGGAATGTCTTTGAGCTCAATTTGTTCAATATAGATATAAATTCTTGGGCACTCCTTATAAAGAAGGTCTAAAATCCAGAAGAACATTATAAATACTTTAGTTATAACATGATTAATTTTTGTTATTTGTAAAATTAAAGGCAAACTTATTTATTTAACAATCTTTAAAAACTGATCCAAGTTTCAAGTCTGGATTTTTTTAGATTCTGATTTTAAATCTTTTTAAATTTAAAAAAGATTTTAAATCTTTTGCTCCAAAAAGCTGCATATGTTTCTTTCAAAATAAATTCTGAAAATTGAATAACAAGATCTATGATTTCTCAGATATGTGTTTAAAGATATTGTTAACATTTTATTCAGAGGTCGGCAATTCATTTTCTGATGGGGCCACATGAGAAATTGGGGTTCTTGTGGAGGGCTAACAAAATGTAACTATATAATTAAAATATAAAAACATATATAAGAAAGAAAGAACCAAGAGCCCCCACTCCTCATTTTAAAATCAACAAATCATGTTAAATGCTAGCTTATCTAAAAAATGCCTTTGCTGGCTAAAAGACAACCTAAAATGGAAATAAGCCATTAATTGGAAACTTAGAAGTCAAACAAAAAGCTAAGCCCAACCTTATATCATTTGGGACACAGAAAAAGTTCATCTTGAATGTTGTAGACATTCCATGAAGGATGTGGATTCCCCCAGCTTGAATCAGGCAAGAGAAGGTTTTTAAAAAGTAATTCAACAGCACCTACTCACCAGTCATGGATGGTGCCACTTTCCTTTGTCCTTTATGATCCACAGTACCTTCGTAGACTATTGTAACCTCATAAACTGCATCAAAGTAGCTCTTCATTGAATCAACAGCAACATGAGTGGCCTTCACCCATGGAGTAAGCACATGTTTCAGTACTGTGAGACCTAACCAAGAGGAAAGGCAGAGTGAAAAAGATTTAACAAGTTGCCCAGGAAATGGTAACATCTCTAGATCCTGCAGCTAGTATCTATAAAACCAGCCATTGATTCTGATTTTCTCTAGACCCAAGCTAGTGTTTTTATTTTTTCCTTATCTTTCAGGAGAATGATCACATGTCCACCCAGTATCACGGATCAATTTAGTGAATTTTGAATGTAAACAAAGTGCCCCCAACTGGATCTGTAGAATTTCAGCCTCAGGAGCACCAAATCAAGAATCACATGAGGTTGATCAAAAACAGGCAATATCTGCACAGCTGGAGTAGCCTGGTGAGTAGAGAGAAGAGCAGAGCCCTTCTATGGAGCATCTTGCCAAGCAAGTGAGTAAATCTCTTGATTAGCAACAGCTGGCTGCAGCCTGATTTAAGAGGCAGCCTTGATTTATAGTCCTTTGCTGGAAACAACTATTTAATCTCTGGCTCTTGTATGACAATTCATATGAATTCTGCCTGTGCTGTTCTGAACTGGCTCTTGGAATCTTGGACTGATTTTGGACTATCCTGTGCATTCCTAATAAGGCATGTGTCTGTCAGAGACTCTTTTGGTTTGCATGCTTTGGCTGTTATCTCTTTGACCTTCAGTAAACTGAATTAGAGGGGGCACGAAGTCTCAGCTGTTAAAGACACAGAGCTTGTCAGCTCTTGATAGTTTTCATTACCTTTCTTTTCAGTATGACTGGCTATCTGTAATTACTTTGGGCAGTTCTAGGTTGTAAAATGCTCCTTCTGGATAAATTACAAAATATATCTGTGGAAACAAAATATATAGTACAGTTTTTTTAAGTTAAACAATTCAGTCTTAAGACTAAGCCTCAATGAGGTTGCTCCAGTCAAAAAAGTCTCATTTTTCTTCCAGTCCTGCATCATAATACAATTATTTTGTGCTTCTATCAGTTCTCACAATTATAATTTGTGAAAGAATATGAAGCTCAGCCAGAATTGCTGCACTAAAGCAAAACTCAGTTTATTATATCAGGCCAATCATCCATTTCCTATAACATTTGCTAAACTAGATGCACACTACTTTAAACTCAGACTTTCTCTCTAAATAAATTTTGCTTAATTTAGGTCAAGAGATATTAGCCTAATTTTTCTATACAACACAGGTGTGCATCTGAATACCGGGACATTTCCTGGAAATGTTTATCCTCCCAGCAACCAAACCAAGGTAACTGCTTAGAGCACCTGCCTGACTTTGTAGAAGAAAAGTATAAACCAGCATTTGATTCTGAAAAAGGAATTGACTCCTGAGGTTTGCTTTTGTGGGAGCTCATATCACAAATATATGTGCACACATACACATGCACGAGAGAGAGAGAACATATACACAGGGATGCTGCAGTGGTTGTAAGTATGAAAAATGTTCATAAGTTACTTTTTTCAATGTCGTAACTTTGAATGGTCACTAAACTGTTGTAAGTCGAGGACTACCTGTACCTATTACATCACTTATGCGTGTTTCAGCAAATTATTAAAATTGAACTCTTACTGAGTGTACTGTATTCAGCTACATACAATAAGCTTTTAACAATGTTCCCTCACCACAGTGGAATGCCAGTGAATGTACACTTCTTATTCCTGCAGGCCACCATATCTCAAATCATGTTCTATGTTGTCTCACGGCAAAATTTATGAGTGTTATCGAAAACGTAAAGTCCTGTTGTATAAATCCATTTAATACCAGTCCAAACAAATAAAAGGCTGCTATTGATTATATACACTAAAATATTTTTGAATGCTCTTATAATGAAATATTTTGGAATGGTTTCTCCAAGAAGAATAAAGAGAGAAGAAGCTGGGGAGTTTTAGGAACACCTACTGTGTTTTCATTTAAAATACTGATTTCATGAATGCTGCTTTACATAAGCGCTAATGCAAAGATTGGTACATTATGATACCAAGAGTTAACAGAAGTTAACTGGGGTAAAAAAAGACTTTATTTCTTATTTTGGATTGTTCTGTTTTTTATGAATGTCCCTCAGATGCTTTGTCCAGTCTCATTCTATCATTATGTTGCTAAGGAGCCAAACATCTCACACCAGCTTATTGGAGTTGTAGAAAGCTTTTAGGGTGAAGCTACAACCAACTTTTGACAGAAGCACTCCTTGGAAGCAGCTTTCTGAAGCAATGTCTCCACAATCTTCTCTGCTCATTCTGGCTTCCAAAAAACAAAGCAAACCACGAACACTGTTTTGTGTCAGCCAAACCTTTTTGAATGGCAGTTGGACTAATTCCCTTCATCTTGGAAAGCACCTCATTTTGGCAGAGATTAGCTGCCTCATACAGGTGTACATTTATACATCAAAGAGCAAGAATAAGCGAAGGTGTATCTGCTGGTCATAAAAAAAACCTCTAAAACAATTGGAAAACTTGAACATCATGTCTTTTCCCCACCTCTCCTGCAAAAAATAAGGCTGTCAATCATTATTTTTGTTGAATCTTGGAAACCTGACTTTTTCCAGCTATCAGTAAAACAACATTCAAAAGGAAGACTATTATTATTAGTCAGTTTTAATCTAATGTAAAGTTGTGTGCCTATTTCTGCATTTGTAAAATCAGAGAAATTTCAGTTATACAGTCTTCACCTCAGAGAATTCCTATCCATCCCACCCTCAATTTTTCATCCATGAAAGCATAAAAATAATATGAAAAACCCCAAATGACTCAAATTGTTGCCAGGTTATCCAATCTGACTTTTGTGACTAGAACTGGTAATCTGGAACACTGCATAACTCTTTTAAAAGAAAAAGAGGCATCAGAAAGGAAACATTTCTTTTAAAGGGATTACAGGTATTCCTCAATTTATAATGTTGAATGACTGAAAGTTACAGTGGGCTCTGAAAAAATGACTTAGGACAACTATCAAACCACCGCCTCATATCATGTGATTGCAATTGGGGTGTTTGGCACCTGCTAGCACTTATGACTGGCTGCAGCATTTTGTGGTCACATGATTGAAATTTTTTTCCTCTAGAACAGCAATTTTCTAATCAAGTCTATTGTTTCCCATATGCTATGTTTTTTTCTTTCGCGCATGTATTTTTTTTAAAAAAAATACTATTTGATACAGATATACAATCACTTCATCCACTGTACTCTGTATGCAAGAATCTTTTGGAAACAATATGAAACTGGGTCAAAAAAAATATATTTTTAAGATCTGTTACTAATTTGTAAACATTACTTATTCCTCCTCCAATGATTTAAAGACCTGTTTTGTGGATCAAAACCAAAACTCAGATGTGTTTACTAGCATGCTTTCCTTGAACTAACATTCTGTTTTCTGAATATTCAGAACATACACACATTCCGCAACAGGATGTTTATTGGAGGTAGGAAATATACATTCCATCACAATTCTGTAATCAACTGTCACAGGAAAACTTTAGTTGAGTGCGAGTGACATCACTACCACAGCATCAACAGGAAGAAGAGGAAGTGTTTTCGTGTTTATGCAGATCTGGCACAGGGTTCGGGTATAAAAATGGGAGTAAAACATACATACCACTTGGCATTGCAGATTTCTCATCAGCCAGTACAGAATTGTTTCTTAAATACCAGCAAGCACTGTTTCCAGCACTGAACTATTAATGCAATTACTGAATTATTCCACTAGTTGTTCTCCAAACAGCATAAAAACATCTTTTTTTCAAATCCGCACAACATGGCTTTAAAGAAAAAAGTTTTGTTTCTTCATGTGCTTTGTTAATGGATTGTTTAGAAGATTAATATTCAGAAAAATTAAACTAGATAAGGAAAAAATACTGTGCCATCCCAGTAAATTGAATTCTTTTGTAGCTAGAGATATGAAGAAAAGGAAGAAAAAGAATAATCCAGATAAAATCATGTAGGAAATCAACATTTCCATTAATTTTATAGTATACATGACTTCTACCATTTTGAGGCATGTAGGATATAAATCTGGTGACCATCAGCAGCAAGAGGACTATCACCTGCCAGTCAGTGTAAGAAAGAGGATGCTGGATTATATAGAGCTTTCGATGTGATCAAACAGCAATATTTGATGTTCTCTACCCGTTTCCCCTTCTGGGAAAAAGATAAAAAAATCTCCCATACGTACATCACAACATTCATAGAAAATATTAGAAGGTTTCATGAGCTACAGTAGGCCTCAACTTACAACAATTGAGCCCAAAATTTATGCTGCTAAGCGAGCCATTTGTTAAGTGAGCATTGCCCCATTTTATGACCTTTCTTACCACAGTTGTTAAGTGAATCACTGCAGTTAAGTTAGTAACAGGGCTGTTAAGTAAATCTTGTTCCCCATTGACTTTGCTTGACAGAAAGTTGTAAAAGGCGATCACATGTTCCCGGGACCCTGCAACCATCATTAATATGAACCAGTTGCCAAGTCTTTGAATTTTGATCACATGTCCATGGGGATGCTGCAATGGTCACAAAGTGTGAAAAATTGTCGTAAATCACTTTAAGTGATGTTGTAACTTTGAATGGCCACCAAATGAACTGTTGTAAATCAAGGACTACCTGTAGTCCTCGAGTTTTGACCATAATGGAGCTTGCCTATTAGGGTTGAAGGTTGGGAAAACATTAAACGAACTGCCTCAAGTAATGAACAGCTGTCCCTGCTCTCTCCAGTGAATTTGGTAAATGAATGCATGGGTCAAGTGGAGATCAGGGGTGGGGGGAGACCCTGGGAGGCCTAGCGCAGGCACAAGCCCACCTCTCAAGCCTTCCCCCCCTCATTTCAGCACACCACACAGATGACTGCCTTGCTAGGGATAAACAATGGGGAAGCAAAACACTAGGCACACCTGCCTTTCCTAATTCTGCCCCTGCCCTTCCTCCTGCCAGGGCGCCTTGCCTTTCTGGCGCAAAAAAAAAGAACCAGAACTTTCTCCTCTGATCAGCTGGAAAGTGGGAGGTTACAAAGCTTTCCTGTCTGAGCCATGATGGCATAGTGGTTAGAATGCGGTATTGCATGCTAATTCTGCCGACTGTCAACAGTTCGATTCTCACCAGCTCAAGGTTGACTCAGCCTTCCATCCTTCTGAGGTCAGTAAAATGGGGACCCAGATTGTTGGGGGCAATATGCTGACATTTTTAAACCCTTTAGAGAGTGCTATAAAGCACTGTGAAGTGGTATCTAAGTCTAAGTGCTATTGCTATTACCATCCCTTGCCTGGCTTTGGGAAGCCAGCCCTTGCAGCTTCAGGATGAGCTTCCTCTGCTTAACTCCCTCCCTCTCTCCCCCCCCCCCGAAAGCCACATTTCTTCGATAAACAAACAAACAAAAGCTGGAACAGACTTGTTGATTCCCCCCCCATCCCGCCCCAATTAGATGCTAAAGTTAAACTCTCCCTGCACTCTATCCCTTTTAAAAACCTTACCTTGACTCCAGGCTGAAGAGCAGAGAACGAAGCAAACAAGGGGAGAACGGCTTTTTTGCAGCTTTTCCCCTAGAACTGGAGTGGGGGGGGGAAGACTTCATCTCCAACTTGTGCAAGAAAATGGAGGGTGCTGGGTCTTTGCAAGCTTTAGCTGTCTCCTTCACTGCCTGTAAAGGGCAGTTGACAGTCTAGCCCAGTGTTTCTCAACCCTGGCCACTTGAAAAAGAAACAGACTTCAACTCCCAGAATTCCCCAGCCAGTCTACCTATCTGCAAATGGCCATGGTTGAGAAACATTGGGCTAGCCTTTCAGTCCTAACTGGGCTCTACAGGGTAAGATGGAGCGGCTGTGAGTGGGGGAGCTTCTCTGTATCCAAGAGTTTATCATCTCTGGTCTTTGATGGGTTTGCACTAACCCAGACAGAGCCTGGTGCGTAATCTGGACGTCCTCCTGAACTCCTGCCTCCTGCCTGAGGAGTCAGTTATGCTCTTCCTGGATTGAGATGCTTTTCTTTCATGGTCATTTCCGGTTTTGGACTACTGTAATGCATTCTGCATGGGGCTACCCTTGAATAGCAATAGCAATAAGACTTATATACCATTCCATAGTGCTTTACAGCCCTCTCTGAGCAGTTTACAGAGTCAGCATCTTGCCCCCAACAATCTGGGTCCTCATTTTACCGACCTCAGAAGGGTGGAAGGCTGAGTCAATCTTGAGCTGATCAGAATCGAACTCCTGGTTGTGGGCAGAATTAGACTGCAATACTGCACTCTAACCACTGCACCGCCAGGGCTCTTCCAGAATCTGGAAGATTCAGCCGGGACAAAATGCGGCCATGAGACAATTTGCCACCCAAAGTTGCTGGATACAAGATGGGTGTCAAATACATTTCATAGAAGTTTGGGTGCCCTAGAGATGGCGCATATAACACCTCTGTTGTGCAAGTTGCATTAGGTGCCAGTTTGCTTTCAGTTCCAATTCACATTGTTGGTTATGACCTTTAAAGCCCTACAAGACATAAGGCTAGTTAACTGTAGAAGCAATTGAGCTTGACACTCATGAGTTAAAGCATTTCGACTTGTGGATCCAGAAAAAGAGCATTCTCTGCTGTTGTGTCCACCCTTTGGACTATCCTCCCCCCCCCCAGAAGTGAGACAGGCCCCCCCACATCCCTGGCCTTTTGAAAGAGTTTGAACTCTGCCAACTCACATGATGTTTGCAAATGTGGGATTGGTTACCATCTTGAAGACCCTCCCCCCTCCTTATTGTATGCTTGTTTCATCTGGCTCCTTTTATTGAGATATACCAGTAGTATTTTTATGTACTACACAGGCATGGAGAGAGACTCAATTCATTTAGTGACATGTGAGATCCTGTAATGATGCAATGGGGGTGCTGGGATTGCAGTTGTTCAACAACTTTGCTCAACAACCAAGACTCTGGTCCCAACTGTGGTCATTAAGTGAAGATTACCTATAGTTCTACTTCACCCTTCATATGTTTATAATTATTTTAGCATTAAATTTTCCCATGCTTTGTAGCATATCAGGCAGCATTATAATTATTAACATTACATAAAATGCTTTATAGAGAAACCAGCAATATACACACCTGTACTTTGATTATTTGATATATATATCACATTTTCTTTTTGGCAAATCACCATACAGAATTATCTAGGAAAGGAGAAAAAGCAGTTATCTTAATTATATAAAAATACACTTAAAATCAAAGGTTAAATTTTGTTTCTTCTTTTAAAGAAGAATAATGTTAATTATTTTTTAAGATTCCCTCTTCAATTTCAATGCAGCATTGGTCCACTGCTTAGATTATGTGGCATTCTACTGATTCCACCTATACATTTAAACACAAGAACCTGAAACTATATAATCAAAGGCACTGACAGATATACTGTTTTATTCTATAATTCAACAGTGGAGTCTTAAATGAAATCTAATTTTAAAAATCATGTCTTTTCTTGCAAAAGTCATCATGCGTATATTACTACATGTAACACTATTATTTCAGTTCTCAATTTCAACACCTTTCTTTCAATTCTTAAAGCTGGGTTATACTATTACTATATAATGGGTATTCAAATTGTGCCCAATGTATAGGGAGAATGACTGAGAATGCTAATTCATCTATAATCCCTCTGAGGATTATCAGAGTCCCTCTGGGATGGAAATTGGTGCTTTCTAAATTTAATAAATAAATACAACCTGCGAAATACAGTACTTCAGAGAGGACCCTGCAACGCGAGGCCAAGACTCGCTTTCTTCCTCTTGTCAATATTTGCAACGCTGCTGAGTCGGAACTGAGCACCCAAGAGGGCTCTCTGCCTTTTCCCGACTCTGCCCTGGACCAAAAAGCCTGCAGAGGCACCTATCTCCGTTGGCTCCCCGGCCCCTTTCTGCCCCCTCTGCCCAAACCAGTTGCAGGGACGGGCGGGCTTGGAGGGCCGAGCGGGAGAACGGAGTCCCCCAGCCCAGCCCGCGAGCCGTCCTCACTTGCACGCCGGTGTAGTTCTCGAAGAAGAGCACCATGCTCTGGTAGATGGCGTAGAGCCGGTCGTCCACCTGGTGGTAGAAGCGGGCGGGCAGCAGGGTCGAGAGCAGCCGCCAGGCACCCCCAGGCCAGGATGTAGGTCGGCGCGGTGCCCATCATCACGGCGGCGGGCAGCACGTAGCGCATGGAGTAAGTGTGCAGCACCAGCGACAGCAGCATCTTCTCTCCTCCGCCGGGGCTCTCGGGACAGGGCGCGCAATTCGGCTCCGCTCTCCACGCCGGTCGCCGCTGCGCTCAAGCGCCGCCGCTCCTTCTCATCACCGCGGGCTCCGACGGCCGCCCAGGGAGAGGAGGAGGAGGAGGAAGAAGGCACGGCCCTCGGCAGCCGAGGTGGAAACAGTATGGGCGGGCACGTGGGGAGGAAGCAGCCGGGCGGAGCTCACGCAAGCCCTCATCCTCAGGCAAACGTCGCCGCTGCTGCCGCCATCGCCCCCCTGGCTGAGACGCTCACCTTTTTTCCCGCCCGTCATTGGCTACAAACCAGCTCCGCTTAGGCCAGGGGTAGGCAACCTTGGCTCTTTTATGACTCGTGGACTTCAACTCCCAGAATTCCTGAGCCAGCCAAGCTGGCTCAGGAATTCTGGGAGTTGAAGTCCACGAGTCATAAAAGAGCCAAGGTTGCCTACCCCTGGCTTAGGCCGTCGGGAGCTGCCGAGGAGACTTCAGGGGTTGGCCGGCCTAGAATCCGCTTTCTCCGCCTTTGTCCTTGCTCGTCTCCCGCGGGGAGGGCTTGTCGTTTTGGAAAGACGCGAATAGTTGGCCGGGCACGGACGGAGAGGCGGCGGCGGCGGCTAGCTCGGGAGCGGCCCTGCTCCTCGCTCTCCGGCAGGCGGGAGGCTGAGCGCCAACGCCTCGGAGGGCCCTGCCGTGACTCACTTGAGTCGCCACTAAAGTTAGGTCAAAGAAGAGAGTAAAGTAGACTATTAGAGTAGAATAAAGCAGAGGCAGGGGCTGCGTTGGTAAAAGAGGTCGAAGAACAACAGTAGAGGGGTTTCGCCGTGATATACAGGTAGTCTTCAACCTCTTCGTTTAGTGCAGGGGTAGGCAACCTTGGCTCTTTTATGACTCGTGGACTTCAACTCCCAGAATTCCTGAGCCAGCCAAGCTGGCTCAGGAATTCTGGGAGTTGAAGTCCACGAGTCATAAAAGAGCCAAGGTTGCCTACCCCTGGTTTAGTGGCTGTTCGAAGTTACCAAGGTGCAGGGAAAAGGGACTTAACCAATGCTTTTTTTGTAAAAAAAAAAAAAAAAAAAAGGTGCCGGAACTCACACATGTTATACAACCCGCCTTGCCTACCCTACCCTATAAGGTTCCATCCCAAAAAGGTGCCGGAACTCCGTTCTGGGCGTTCTATAACAAAAAAAGCCCTGGACTTAACAATTGTTCCTCGCACTTATGACCATCATAGGTCCTTCCCCCCATGGTCATATGATTAAAATTCAGGCACTTGGCAGCTGGCATATAATTAGGACAGTTGTAGCATCTCAGGATCATGTGATTGCCATTTGCAACCTTCCGCGTCAACTTGAGACAAGCAGAATGGGGGAAACCAGATTCACTTAATGACTGTAGTGATTTGCTTAACAAGCATGGCAAAAAAAACCATCACAAAATTGGGCATGACTCACTTAACCACTTTCCTTAGCAATGGAAATTCCTAGCCCTGGCATTCTGAGTTAACAATGGCTCAAGTGCAGCAAAAGGAAAGAGTGGGAGAGCCATTGGCAGTGAGGGGGAAAAAACATAAAACTGGGCTACATGAGCTGCTATTTGGGGGATTAGTATCTTTCATTCTAATCCATGTTACAAGGTTATGAGGCTAATGCTGAGAAAATGTCAACTACATCGCTTATGGTCCTTCGTGGAAAGGAAAGACAGGATATAAAAATGTGATGAATAATAAACTATCCATGGAAGAAAAATCTCAGGAAATGCCAGTTACATTTTTCCCTTGAACATTTTGGCTCCGATGCTGCTGAAAGCCAGTTGTGTAAATTGTTCAAGCTGTGATAGTCCCCACAGTGGTCCCATCTGCTATAAGAAAGAGTGGGGTATCTATACAAGCTGAAATTTCCAGAACCAAGTGGACCATGAGCAACACAACAGATATATATTAGAAAGTATATTAATCCCATTTTACAACATAATGTGCGTGTAGCTTAATTGCCTGACTGCAACTGTCTTCTGTAAGTTCTCATCCTCCAAAATATGCAGGATCTGCAACTGAAATGCCAATTAATCTGATAGGCCTAAACTGCCATACCTAAAGATGAAGCAAACACATAAGCAGGGTGGACAAAAGCTGGAAAAGCTCCCTCAGAGAAAGTAATTAAGAAGGAACCAAGTCTTTAAGGAAACAAAGAAAAAAATGTCACCTGAATCAGGCAAAAGAAGTTGGGTCTGAACACATAGGAAGCCCCTCCCCAAGTCCCATCAACCAGAACAAAACAAGGACCTCGGAGGGATAAAAGGGGTCCTGAAGCCCACCAACTCTGAATCATCTTTGGCCAATAAGTGTGGGTGAGTGTGTGTGCACGCATGTGTGAAAGAGCTAATAGATACACATTGCAACCAGTAAAGTTTGCTGTTATTTTAAATTCACTGGGTCTCCTTATATTCCAAAGAACTATTTGTGCCTCAGTGTTTGGTTGAAAGTGATTTGAAAATGACACTCGAATCACTTTCAACCGAACACTGAGGCACAAACAGTTCTTTAGAATGCAAGGAGAACATAAGCCGAACCTGGGAATACAAGTGTAACATTAGATTTGGAGAACCAGAATTACTTCGTAGCTATAGGGCAATTAAAGTTAAATCTCCTTATAATGATTCTCCACTAATATAGTGAATAAAATTGTGCTTTCCCTCTTGCCTCTCCTTAAAAATCTCAGCTGCTTTGATCTTTGGAGGAACAACATGTGAAATGGAGAGTCTATTCAAAATACAGTAGCTCTCTGCAGTTACGATTATAATTGTGAAGCTCTACATCAGCTGAAACCATATTTATGTAGATTAGACAATATTTTATACCTTTTACTGCCAACACAAGGAAAGCAAGAGAACCAAGGAATAGGGATATGATACAATGATTTGTCACCCATTAAGCACCATCCCATTAATATAATTCAAGTTGTAGCTTATTTTTTTTTTGTTCCTGCTGAGGAATCTGAAATTTTGCAGCACAGATGTGCTATATGTTTACTTTAAGCTAGACTTGTGAAATGACCCTTCTCTGGAGAGATTTCTTCAGTCTGGATCCAACATCCAGCTACCATATTCAGCCGCAGTGTCTCCCATTCTCTGCAGGATATCAATTTGCCATTCCTGACTGGAAGCAACTCCTCATAAAGTTTGATTTTTGCCTTAAGAAGGGTCACCAGATATCTGAACAGGGAACGGAGGTCATGGACATTTAGAAAGGAGGATAAAAGGAGAAATGAAGGTTATACTAACTGTTTAACTTTATTGGCATCTAGGACAAAAATTATGGCAAAAAAATAGCAAAAAAGTGTAAGACCTACATGTGTATGAAATCACTTTTCCCTCATCAAATAAACCTTTGGAAGTCAAGGATAAAGCATTTTGGATTTTACTCTAGCTAAAGCAGTCTTGCTTAGGCTGTAGAGCAGGGGTGTTAAATTTGCAATGTCACGTGACGTGTCGCGACATATTGCGACTTTTTTTCCATTGCCAGCAATGGGGTGGGTGCAGTTTCGGCATGACGCATCCAGCTCACGGGTTGGCAGTTTGACACCCCTGCTCTAAAGGTTTCCAATTAGGTCTGCAATTCCCAGAAGGGAAACTTCCTTAATAAATTGGGTGAAAAATAAAAAAAATATATGAAGTTAGGGATATTCTGTTGTTATTTGGGTGATGCAACTGAAATTTATTTGTTGCTTAATTCTAATCAGTTCCCCAGGAAGGTTATAATTTGTATTTTGTGAAGAGGTACTTTTTAGTATTTTAGTTAGTTTTCTGCTTATAACAGACTTCAAAAACATTTTCCCATTTTTTTCTATCTATGAAATTTGTAAATAGAGTAAGAAGATAGAAAGTGAAATTATATTCCAAATAATCAAAGTGATTGGGTTAGAATGTAAATATGTGCAGTAACTTTGAATGTGTGACTGAGTGCCCTAAGTCTCTTCCAATGGATTCTGCATGAATTTAGCCATACATTTTTGTTACTTGCCTAACATATATTTTAGTAATATTGCTCTCATGTAACTCCCAGGAGTATTGTATGAAAGGAAGTGGAGAATGTTCTTTCTGAAAGCATGAAGTGGGAAACTTTCAACTACTATTTATAGCAGCATTTAGGCTGTGGAAATCCCAGACATTATCTGCCTATTTATAGTGATCTTTTTCAGCTGAAAACAAATTGCCACAGACGTACTGCACTTTTATCAGTCATTTAAAATTGATAACCTTTATGTCTGAAAAATAGTAAACTCTATGGAAAGAATTAACATTTTGTGATATACGTTATTTCATACAAATAAGTGTCAATGTGACACATATAAAAAGACCCAATTTCAGAAGTAGGAAGTCTGCTATTCCAGACCCAGGGAAGGGCGTTATGGATATACTAGCCATGTATCATCTAGTTTGTGGGATATTCATTTATATATCTGATTCCAGGGAATCCTGCTAGTGGAGGAATTATGGGAACAGCGTGACTTTTTATCAAGTGACCTTTAAACTACAGCCATCATGCAGGAGCTGCTCTTTTAGTGTTTCAATCCCTCCCCAGCTACTGCAATTTCTCATTTCACGGCAATTCTCTTGAGCAACTCTTTTCTTTAGGATCCAAGCTACAGACAGGTAAGAAAACATGGATAGTTGCCTTGGTTTTTTCAGTATTTCAGCAGAAGAGAACTGTAATTTCTGAATGGATTATAATCCCAGAAGAGAATAGAGTGAAATTTATCTGAAGTTTGTCTGGTGAAGTGATGTTAGTGGTGAAGGTGCTTGCCTAGAAACCAGGAGACTGAGAGTTCTAGTCCCTCCTTAGACATGCAAGCTGGCTGAGTGACTTTGGACCAGCCACTCTCTCTCTCAGCCCAATCCATCTCACAGGGTTGTTGTGGAGAAAAAGAAGGGAAGAGTATTGGATATATTCACCACCTTGTGTTATTTGCAAAAATAATAAAGGGATAAAAATCTAATAAATAAAAAAGTAAAAAGCTGACCTTGGCC